CGCGCACACGGGAGGGAGAAGTCGCCTGGCGGGAGGGGACGGAGGGGCTGACCGACCCCCTGAGTGGGGAAGGAGCTGGGGGTCGGAGGGCACGGATGGGGAGGGGGCGCTGGGCCCGTGCAGCATTGGGGGCTTGTCTGGGGGTTCCCTTCGCTCACGGGCCCCTTCTCTCGTCCAGGGTACGACCCAGTGATGATTGTGGGCATCGTTATTAGTCTTGTGCTGGTCATTGCTGTGACAGGAGCAGCTGGTTACTTCTGCAGTAAGTGCTGGGTGAAGTCATTGGGGCCAGGCCATGCCCAGGCCTTGGGGTGGGGGAGCAGGGAGGGCTCATCACCACCATGCCTGGGACCGGGTGAGGGGACGGGGGATTCTCCGGCTGTTCTGGGCTCCTAGGTCCTTGTGCCCCCGGGGTGGCAGCAGCCCGACCCCAGCGCAGCGCTGCGAGGCTGCCTTGCTGGGGCCCCGAGGCTGCTCTTGGGTCCGCATGGACCGTGCCCCACGGCCCGTCCCCTCCCCACTGGGGGTGTCCTGGCCCCACGTCCTGGGCTGAACCCCTGGCTTTGTGCTGCGCAGGTTTAACTCTGTTTGTTTTCAGTCACTTAAACCAGTTTGTGTGCAGCTTCTGTCCTTAGTCCTGTTGACTAATTATGTGGCTCCAGTCTCCCTTTTATTTAGTATAGTGGCTGGGGGCTGTCAGCTGGACACCTGGCAGGGCCAAACCATGCATTGGCTTGGGCAAGACTCTGGTCAGAGTTCCCCCAGTACCACAGAGGTATGTTGTGTGGCATCCCAAACAGGATTTCCAGCCATAATCCCAAACCAAAGGCCAGTTCCTTATTTAAGCCCATTTACATATTACAGTGGCTGTCAGCTGGCAGCCTGGAAGGGCCAAGCTGCGCTTTGGGTCGGGCAGGGCTGCACCCAGAGGTCTTTGGGACAGTCCCCCAGTGTCATTGACAGGAAGTTTGGGGTGGCCAAAAATATTTTGCCCCATAATCCCATTTTAAGCTGATCTTCATTTAGTTCTACGTACTCGATGCAGGATATTATTTTACATATTAATTAGTAAATATGCTAATGACATTAGTAATATAGCTAATGACATTCTCTCTCTTTACAATGTGTAATTCATAAATAACAAGGCTTTTATTGGGTGTAGATGAAGGAGTAAGGAACCAACTTCAGCCTTGTCCCCCGCAACTGTTGTCCGGGACCACG